TCAAGTCGCCTAGCTAACTACTGACTTTCGACTCCCACAACAAACTACCTACACGGTTGTGTATCAAAGCTCCGCATATTATTGCCCAGTCATTTTACATCTATCCTATTTGTTTATAGTCAAATGAAAACACTTGACTTCGTCATGAGTTTGTTTTAAGCACTTATAAACGCATACTTTGATAACCCTATACTGTTTACCATTGGTTATCAGCCTTCTACTGATCCCATTTTTCAACTGATTGTAATATTTTAGAATCTGGAAGGAGGTGTATTGTATTTGCCTTGAAATCGTAAATATCATCAAAGTATTTGGACAGGGTTTTAGATCTAATGCATTCTAAGAAAATGCTTTCTTTAAACTTGATCATAAACATTTCCATTAGTAGGGCTAATGCAGATGAATCTTTAGCTACATTGTTAGTTTGGTACAATTGTTATCCAATATACTTGGATGGAATTTGTAATTATGATCATTTATGTCAATAGTATTCACAAAACCCTTAAAGATTAATTAACAATCGTTCCAGAATATGACCTTCAGGATAGTTGGTCCAAATAACTAAGAGTAAACTTTATGCTTCGGGAAATAACTAACAAAACACCAATTGCATCTGCAAAAATTTATACATCACGTTTTTTTAAGTAAAAGCAATTCCCATTTCACTTCTAAATAGATTCTATCTTTAACTTTTTGTAAATCTTTTGAAACCCTATAGAGAGAAAAAATCCAGCTCACTTTTTATACACCGTGTTATATACCAAATTGTTTCTAAAATTCTATTAACCGGGTAAGAATTCGAGAAATATTGTAGAGATATTCTTAACTTGGCATATCTAGCTATTTCAAATTCGATTTTCTTTGCGATCAAAAAATAAATACATTTATATGCCCAAAATAAGTGTTTCATTATGGGCAGCATAGAAAAACACTTATTTTGATATATACCCGAAATAATAAAATGAAAGCTATTTGCAGTGTAGTGTAATGTTCTTAGAAGTGTTGAGTCACTTGAACTAGTAGATACATTATTGCTTAATCTATGGAAGGACTAGACAAGCACGACATCGGTCACCACTTGGTGATCAATCAAATATTTACTATATCAGGTAATGAATTGGATATCGGCTTGAAATAACCACAACCATAAATAAAATTGCGAGTTATTTCCTCTAAAAAAATTGTTTATCTCTCATTGTTTTCCATACTCGTTTGCCTGTTAAATGTAATAATAGGTTCGGAGCACATCTTTCCTTGTGAACGTTGTACTACTCATTGATAATGAGTAGCTCGACTGCGTTCACAAGTATACAGGGTTTGTGCACTATGGATATTTAGGGTTTTTTTGCACGAGATCCCTTATCATGTTTAGTTATTTTGGTATTCTGTTGTCTTGGGTTGTTTAATTATCTTCCAAAGTGTTTTTATCCCTTTTATGTTTTAGTATTCATTGTACTTCTCATCCTATGAAACTGTTTATTATTTTTAACACTGTCTATTTTCGAAAAACTCCGCCTGTAGCTCTTCCAGAGTTACTGCCTGTCCCAAGCCCGGGTAAAGGAGGAGGGTTGGGCATGGGGTTAGCGTCCCCATCCCGTAGAAACCTAACTCGCTAAAAAAACGCTAACCAGAAAAAATAACTCAAACCATTTAAACTCTGCCCTGGGAGTTAGAGGTAATATGACGCTTCATGGTGAAAGCCGAGTTCCTTCGGAAGCCACGAGGCCGATGCCCCTTCTAACAACCAGAGCAACAATTTTTATAGGTACATGGAACGTCCGGACAATGTGGGAGAACGGGAAGACCAGTCAAATAGCAACGGAAATGAGGAGATACAACTTGGCAGTACTGGGAATCAGTGAAACCCATTGGACCCAAGCTGGACAACAAAGGCTAAATACGGGAGAGATGCTGCTATACTCCGGTCACGAAGAGGAAAATGCTCCACACACTCAGGGAGTTGCTCTAATGCTATCCAAAGTAGCACGAAATGCACTTGTAGGATGGGAATCTCACGGATCCAGAATCATCAAAGCATCATTCAAAACAAAGAAGGAGGGTATTACAATGAACATTATCCAATGTTATGCACCTACCAATGATAGCAACGACGACGTTAAAGATCAATTCTATGAGAGGCTGCAATCAATCATAGAGAAGTGCCCAAGAAAGGACCTCACCATTCTGATGGGAGATCTAAACGCCAAAGTCGGAATGGACAACACCGGATATGAAGACATCATGGGACTACATGGACTGGGAGAGAGAAACGAAAACGGGGAAAGATTTGCAAATCTGTGTGCATTCAATAAATTGGTCATAGGCGGTACAACATTTCCACACAAACGTATACACAAAGCTACATGGATCTCACCGGACCACACCACAGAGAACCAGATAGATCACATTTCCATCAATAAAAAGTTCCGAAGGACAATGGAAGATGTGAAAACCAGGAGAGGAGCGGACATAGCTTCAGATCATCACCTGGTTGTGGCCAAACTGAAACTGAAGCTAAAGAAGAACTGGACAAACAGCACCACAAAGGTTCAATACAGCCTTCCTTCGAGATACTGACAAACTCAATGAATTCAAGGTAGCTCTCCACAACAGGTTCCAAGCCTTACAGGATCTACTGAAGGAAGAAGAAACTACTATGGAGGATAGCTGGAAAGGTATCAAAGAAACATTAACTTCAACGTGTCAAGAGGTTCTGGGCCCCAAGAAACATCATCACAAGGAATGGATCTCTACAGAAACACTGGACAGGATCAAAGAAAGAAAGAACAAGAAGACAGCAATTAACAACAGTCGAACAAGAGCAGAGAAAGTCCAAGCACAAGCAGAGTACATAGAAGCAAACAAGAAAGTGAAGAAGAGCATTAGAGCTGATAAGCCAAAATACGTGGAAGAACTAGCAACGACGGCGGAAAAAGCTGCAAGAGAAGGAAATATGAGACAGCTTTACGATACGACGAAGAAGCTAGCAGGGAAATACAGTAAACCAGAGAGACCAGTCAAAGACAAAGAAGGAAGACCAATCACTGAGATTCAACAACAGCGGAACAGATGGGCAGAGTACTTCGAGGAACTCCTGAACAGGCCGGCTCCAATGAATCCACCGGACATCGAAGCAGCACACACAGATCTTCCTATAAATGTCAATCCACCAACGACAGAAGAAATCAGAATGGCCGTCAGACAAATCAAGAGCGGGAAAGCAGCAGGACCTGACAATATACCAGCTGAAGCGTTGAAGTCAGACATCGAAGTAACTACAAGCATGCTTCATCTTCTATTCAAGAAGATTTGGGAGGAGGAACAAGTGCCGATGGATTGGAAAGAAGGACACCTCATCAAGATTCCAAAGAAAGGAGATCTGAGCAAGTGTGAAAATTACAGAGGCATTACACTACTGTCAATACCGGGTAAAGTCTTCAACGGAGTGTTACTGAACAGGATGAAAGACGCAGTAGACGCTCAACTTCGAGATCAACAAGCTGGATTCCGTAAGGACCGGTCGTGCACAGACCAGATTGCGACACTACGGATCATCGTCGAACAATCAATTGAGTGGAACTCGTCACTCTACATCAACTTCATTGATTATGAGAAGGCATTTGACAGTGTAGATAGGAGGACGTTATGGAAACTTCTTCGACACTACAAAGTTCCTGAGAGGATTGTCAACATTATCCGGAACTCATACGATGGACTACAGTGCAAAGTAGTGCACGGAGGACAGCTGACTGACGCATTCCAAGTAAGGACCGGAGTAAGACAAGGCTGTCTACTCTCTCCCTTCCTGTTTCTTCTGGTGGTTGACTGGATTATGAAGACCTCGACATCTGAGGGAAACTACGGCATACGATGGACAGCTCAGAACCAATTAGACGACTTGGACTTCGCAGATGACCTAGCCCTCCTATCACATACACACGAACAAATGCAGATAAAGACAGCCAGCATAGCAGCAGTCTCTGCATCAGTAGGCCTCAACATACACAAAGGGAAAACCAAGGTCCTCAAACACAACACGGAGAACAGCAATCCAATCACTCTTGATGGCGAAACTCTGGAAGACGTGGAATCCTTCACATACCTGGGAAGCATCGTCGATAAACAAGGAGGTTCAGATGCAGACGTCAAGGCGAGGATTGGCAAAGCTAGGGTGGCATTCCTTCAACTGAAGAACATATGGAACTCAAAACAACTTTCAACCAATATCAAAGTCAGAATCTTCAATACGAACGTCAAGGCAGTTCTACTGTACGGAGCTGAAACTTGGAGAACTACAACAACCACCATCAAGAAGGTACAGGTATTTATTAATAGATGTCTACGCATGATACTCAACATCCATTGGCCGGATACCATCAGCAACAGCCTTTTGTGGGAGAGAACCAACCAGCTTCCAGCTGAAGAGGAAATTAGGAAAAGACGATGGAAATGGATAGGACATACATTGAGGAAATCATCAAACTGCATTACGAGACAAGCGCTAACTTGGAATCCTGAAGGGAAGCGGAAAAGAGGAAGGCCAAAGAACACATTACGTCGGGAAATAGAAGCAGATATGAAAAAGATGAATCAGAACTGGAAAGAGCTTGAAAGCATTGCCCAGGACAGGGTTGGATGGAGAATGCTGGTGAGCGGCCTATGCTCCTTCACGAGGAGTAACAGGCGTAAGCTATTTTCGAAAATAACACTTGATTTATTTAATTCATTCTTGATATTCCTGTTATACATTAGGTTATTCTTCTGATTTAAATTCTTTGATTGATGATATATTCATAAGATTATTGATATCTTAAATGATGATAATATTTTCGTCCTGACAAAGTCATGAATGTTACTATAGGCTATCTTTTTATTTTAATTGTAACGAACAAATTTTAGTAAAACAGAGCATCAATAAATCTGATATATAAAACAAGTCTTTAAGAATTATTTTACCTGAAAATTTAACTGGGAATATCTGTATTTATAAAGGATATATGGATAAGATTACAGCAATATGTGGCGAGATTGAAGATGATACGTGTTTAACGCAAATGAGGAACACGGTACACAAATAAACTAACGTTCTTGTGAAAATGGGAAAAACGTTCATTATCTTTCCTGGACATACTCATTGTTCAAAGGGTGAGCGGATCAGTCAGTCGTGAGTAGATAAATACATAAATTAGTCCAAATATATTTTACTACTCTGCTTATCAGTAATGAGTGGTAATTAGTAGGTGCTTGTAATGGACAAGAACAATAAACTGCTCGAGAATATTGTTATTCCCAGACCCATTTTAAGACTCAATAAATTGCTCATTTGTACTGGATTGATAAGGAGTAGAAAAGGAAATCCACATCACAAATAATTTTGGGAACATGTTAGAATTATTAACATTTTACTGGGATGCATCCTCATTTCATCTGATGAGAGATAGAAAATTCAGAAGAATGAATAAATGAGGTTATAAATCGTTATTGACTAAAGTGGTTGGGATACGTTACGTATACCGAACAATTGCATAACTTAATAGGTAATGTTTGCTGGTGTAGGAATAAAACGGAAGAAAGTTAGGTCTCCTCAAACCCAAAAGTAGCATCAGTTTATGGATACTTTAACTGGTGGTTTGATCCATGTTGGGAAGTGTATTTAATCCGGTTGAGGTCAGAGCAATTACTGAGATCAGTGGTTGGAGATATGGCTCAGAATCAGTTACAATTGAGCAGACATGTTCACTCTTCATCTTACTCTAAGTCTTGAGCTGTACCATCCCATTTATACATACCTTTTCATCCTGTATTCTCGGACCATATCGTCAATGTTTAACCTTTCTCACTATCATTGTCACTATATTATTTGGATTCCTTTACTTTCATTATGTTCATTTCATTTTATCGTGCTAACGTCAGTCGGTCATACACAACATAAATTCCACCTGTAGCTCTTCTAGGGTTACTGCTGGTCCCAAGCCCGGGTAAAGAAGGAGAGTTAAGCATAGGGTCAGAAACCTTATCCCGTAAAAAGCAACCTTGCTAAAAAGAACGCTAAGTAATACGCAACATAGGACCTGGAATATTGTTCATTGGTTCAATATTACCAATATCAACAGAGTGAGATGGTAGAGTGGTGTGAATAGTAGTAATATTAGTGGCGGTGGAGAAGATTAGCCGTAGAACAAGGTCGGAGGCAAAATATGGATTAGGGAAATAAAAGGGCTTATGAGGTAATTCAGAAACTCAAGATTTAAGGGAAAACAAGGAATGAATGCACTGACGCCATTGCTACCGATTCTGAGTTATGCCATCTAGTCTGTGAACACTGACTGTGACAATCATGCGGATCTCATCCAAGAATTTTACATCTACTTATACGACTGAGTCCAACAGTTAGTGACTCCACAGACGTTTAGGTTTGGTCAGCACTAGCTTTCCTCCGACTTGTTCTTACACACAAACATTGCTTATCGAGGTAAGTGATGGTTCAGTATGCGTGACACATCTCAATCACGATAGTAGATGAAGATTCACTACCTTATCGACCGATTTACCATTTTTACCTAGTACTCTGAGTTTAACCTCAGCATTACCTACCTGGTGATGCCTACATACACCAGCAATGCTTCCAAGGCATCTACGACCAAATACTAGTAACCTATGAATATCTCTGATTTTTAAAGGTTAAGGTTCATAGCCATTAATTAAGACAAGAAACCATTGTGCAGTATACCCGTCTTCTGGTTGGCAAACGGACATCTCGTACACGCTACAAACGACGAAAGTTGGCAAAAGTCAAACGAGCTTTTGTCATAAACCAACCCACTGTGGCTGACCATAGCTCGAAGATAAGCGAAGTGACTAACAAGGACAACCATTTCACTTTCTATAATCAATTTAGGGGTTGATGCGTACCAGTCCTGAAGGTGTGCTTTCCCTTTAGAGGGAGGAAAAGGCATTCTAAACATGTTTGTATTGTTAAAGAACTTTTCATTTGGTCAGGGTCTTCACAAAACAGGACAGTATCATTTGCGTATTCTAAGTCAAGTAAACCTGTCGGTAGATCAACCCACTGAGAATGTTATCCTTAAAAGAATATTAATGACAGCGTTGAGTAAAAATGGAGAAAGTAGTCAACCCTGAAGAACACTAATTCCGGCAACGACTTGCTGTCAGCTCTGATTCTAAGGGTAGTAGTGTTCGAGTAGAGCCTGTACAAAGTTAATGTACTTCTTATGTACGCCTTCAATGACAGACACTGCCATTAAATCCGGTCAATCTACGAAATCAAACGCGACCTCAAGATCAAGAAATACAACTATAGTTAGGAGTCTGGAGTTATGCTTGTTTCAGAGCCTGACAAATATCTAGTCTATACATCCGCCTACAGGACTGAAACCAACCTAGTTTTTACAGGTTTATTCTTAACAAGCCATAACGAAGAGTTGAATGGTTATTCAGCCTAATATTTTAGATACTACGTTAGCCAAACGAATTATTCTGTGGTTGTCACGAGGACTTTTTTCTTTCCTTATAGGCTAGAACGATCAGCGATCGTGACCATTCAGGTGATATTACGTTCAATTCTCAGACTCTGGTTAGTATATCAGCCAACCTAACAGATAAAAGTAGACCCTGGTTTAGAATCCCGCGAGCGGAGTCGGGAATGCGCACTGCTGAGGAGTCCCACACTAGGATGAAACGGCCGTCCAGTGCTTCCGGATTTCCGGCGGTGGTCTAACATCAGTCGGTTCATGATCTTAATCAAAAGTAGACCAATCCATCAGGGCCTAATACATTCTCTTGCTTTAGATTAATTATAGCTTTCCCAACTTCCTTAAGAGATTGGCAGTTTATGTTGTCAGTCAGCCAGCTACAATGTAAGACCAGGAACATATATGCACCGGTCCAAGTTGCCGTACCTCATTAGCACAGCACGATGAATACCAGATTCATAGAAGCAGTTACTTCAGAGGTAGTAATATATAGAAGATTGAGTATAAAAATATGATACAGAGAGGAAGAATTTTTTCGTATTAAGGAAGGTATGAGTAATTTTAGTCTCACGGTTTAAGGGAGGACAAAGAGCATATACACCTACGCTATTGTGATCGACTTTGAGCCATATCACTCAGTCTACAACCACTGGTTACGATAGTTGGGCGGACCCCAACCTAGTAGTCTGCATCTACCAACATGGCTGAAACCAGAAGTTAGTGACTCTGTGGACTGGTGCCACGTTTGGTTTGGCTGCCCCTAACTTTCTTCCAGCCGTCTCCAACACGTCAGCATTGCGCACCGTAGTAGTCGGTGGTTGGGTGTGAGTAATATGTGGCCCAACCATCTCAGTCGATGAGGATTTATATTGACATCCCATTAGGATAGCTTGGTAACCATATGTAACATGAGTGATTCGAGACCAGTTAAATTGTACTTCAAAGTGTTGCACACAGCTTTTCAATCTTCTGGGCTAAGACTGGGTCATTATCCCGCTTTTTGATAGTTTTACTAAATCCCAAGTCTTTAATGCATGCTTTCTTATAAATTTGGGAAGCTGTCCATTATTGCCTAGTACCGCAGTCATTTCCATCTCTTGCTTCAGCTGCATATCACTGCCCATGATCATTGCACATGTTTTTTGTCAGTTTACGTTTACATTGCCTTTGCTCCTGATCGTGTTTCGACTCTGATGAGATGAGTTTCCGATAACCTAGAAATCCAGTAGCTGCGACTGAAACCCACCGATTCTTCTTAACCTTTTGGTAGATATCATTGCTGTTTGGATATCACACCATTACACATCGGAGTGAACATCACATTTTGACGATTGGCTAACTGCTTCTCTAGTTATTCCTGAAATATAGGATATTGTTTATTCGTATGTATTGTCAAACAGATTTTGAAGGCCTCTATGCCATACGTTTCACTTTGTGAGTCAACTTGGTGTTTGCTAAGAATAAACGGCTGCCTAAGCATAGTTAGAGCAGACGATTGCCTTTGTCTGTTAGCTGAGTTCGGACACAGGAGGACTTACCTAAGTGTCTTTGACTTTGGTTTAGACTACCTACTTAGACATACAAACCCCTTGCTACAATTACGTCTGAGGGTTTGGCATTTTGCAGGATAACATAAATTTTTTAAAAAACTTGTCCTTTACTTCTATTAAACTGCAGAGATTAGGAGTGTGAGAAGAGACGGCGATTGTGGTGTGGTAGCTTGGGCCAACACACAGTTATGCCACGCTATACGTTGATTACGATTGGTAGACTGTAGGGTTTACATTTATCATGTATGCTCAAAATTTGAGAAATGTATTAATTTCAGGATGTTACATATATATTTACTTCAAAAGAAACGATTCAAATATACATACGTTTTATTCAGTCTAGTTATCATGGAAATGAAAAAAAATAAGGAAAGATAGCAATATATATATGCCGTTTCTCACCAATTATTTTTTCATGCAGTTTAATTTTACGTATACAAATATGAGAACGGATCTAGGACAATTCAATATGCCACTGCTTGATCCATTCACAGATTTGAGAAATATTTTTTTCTAAGTCTTCAGGAGTATTATTAATTAGTTCATGTACTTTGTCTGTACTATACGATTCACGAGCCTCGTCCAGAACAACCTATATATATATATATATATATATATATATATATATATATATATATATATAGAGAGAGAGAGAGAGAGAGAGAGAGAGAAGGATAACGAAAATCGATATATGGTAGTAGTCATATAAAAATGGTAAAAACTCAAATATTTTTACACTTATTTATATCAATATTACTTTTATTACTAACTGTATTAGTCATAAGATAACTGAAAACAAGTAAGGGAGCTTTTCACTACCTGTACACAAAGACTAGATCTTCAATTTCATTTCAAAGGAACTCAACAATTATTTTGTACATTTCAGGCCGAGATGAGTGGTGGCTAACAGTGAAGTTCAGGATATACATTTCGGCTTGATCAGAAGTCGTCAGTCAGATGTACCTGTATCCCAGTTGGTGTTCACTCCGGAACTCGAACGCATTAATTTTCGCTTCAAATGCTACCGCATTATCCACTTAGCTATTGAGTCCAGGTAGTCATTGGCTTGTGTAATCCGCACAGGATGCACACATATCGAAACAGACTGATCGGTTGCAGTCCTACATATCAATGTGAAGATTCAGGCAACGATTATATACGAATTATTTATTATACTTTATATTATTTCACATTACGTTAAATTGTTTTCCAAAAAGCTTTCCAACAAAATTCCTGAGAAATAATAAAAACATGTCATCATTTAATCTTATTTTCTTTCTAAATAATCCAAAATAAATTTTGGACGTTGCTTTAATGTACTTTACAATATAGCACTGATGTTTTCACCTGTTAGATTTGAATAAAATGTCAGACAGGTTACAACTTGGAACTTAGATGAGTTTTATTTTGTCCCTCATCAATTTTCCCTGACTGATTGGCATTCAATTTTTTTCTTTGTTGATCTGATGTATGGAAGCTTGAAAACTGATGATGAATATGTGGTTGATGCAGCCACAACCAAGTTTAAAGCCAGCCTGATTTTCTCGCGTTTGCGGTTCATGAGTCTTAGTTAGGCATTCGATAATTATTGAGGCCAGTATTTTATATGCTATGTTAGTCAAACTAATCCCTCTATGGTTATCGTAGGATGATTTTGACCCCTTCTTATATATTGGGACAATCAGTGATTGTGATCAGTCAGGTGGGACTACGTTCAACTCCCAGATTTTAGCTAAGATATTAGTCAATCTAATCGCTAAAATTGCACTACCATACTTAAAGACCTTTGAAGCCAATCTAGCTAGACCAGCTGCTCTTCCTCGTTTCAGATTAGCTACAGCCTTTTCAACTTCAGCTAGAGTCGGTGGGGCTATTTTAATGTTTTATTCGGGATGTTTGGACATTATGGTAGTTGTAAAGTAGCTAGATGCCAGATGAACTGCTCCGTAGAGTGTTTCATCCATCGTTCTATGTGGAGCAACAACGAGTTCATACGCTATTTGCTCTCTCAGGAATCTGGAACCCATGTGTACCATTGGTTTGGAATGAGGGTTTTCCAAAACTCCCCTAGGTGAACCCTCTGTGTTCATCAACCCTATTAAAGCGCCGGACATACGTTTTCGCACTCTTGACTTCGTAAATAACACCACCTCTGTGAGAAGGCAGTGAGAGTAGGACTTCCCTGACAGTGGTTGTTTACGTGTGGCCATGTGAGAGCATTTCGAGAGGGAGAGTTGACTCTCTTCATTCTTGGCCGTGCTAGGGCATTGTTTCTTGAAATATGCTGGTCTGTTGGTTTCAGTCGTTTAATTGCAGTATCTCAAAAGCATCTACGTATTACCTTTGTAAGGTTTCTCGTTTATAATAAATCCTTTTAATTTCTCGAAACATCTTACCTGAAGAATTAAGTGAAGGTGTCACTTTTGCAGAAATCTTCTTTGAGCTTTTCAACAATGAAAACGTGAAATTATTAGTACTGACAAACACAATTTTAGATTTTTAAGACTATATTAGAGCTCACAGCACTAAATGGCTCCAATAAATTGTTCTTAATAATTCTCACATAGTTTCTGTGTAACAATATGCAACAACTGTGTCGATGCCCTGTTACGGCCGAGAATGAAGAGAGTCAACTCTCCCTCTCGAAATGCTCTCACATGGCCACACGTAAACAACCACTGTCAGGGAAGTCCTACTCTCACTGCCTTCTCACAGAGGCGGTGTTATTTACAAAGTCAAGAGTGCGAAAACGTATGTCCGGCGCTTTAATAGGGTTGATGGACACGGAGGGTTCACCTAGGGGAGTTTTGGAAAACCCTCATTCCAAACTAATGGTACACATGGGTTCCAGATTCCTGAGAGAGCAAATGGCGTATGACCTCATTGTTGCCCCACTACCTTGTAGATTAGACTTTCAGGTCAAAGGCTCGAGGTGTGGCCCCTTAAGAAAACCACCTGCTTCAGTTTGGGCACCCGGGCAGTATCACATCTCTCACACAGATCAATAACTACTACTGGCGCCCCTTAGTACCAATATTTTTGTGTTCAAATAATAAACATATGAATATACCATATACAACACTAGATAATCGACTTACACAGATGCGATCAGTTAGCTAAACATTGTCAGCGATTTGGAAGTCGGAGCGAAATTCCCTTTCAAATGGTATATAGAGACATTACCCCTTATGTGCTGGGATGTAGGACGTTTTAAACATTTTTATAAATAAATAATATATTTGTAATATCCCAATGAGTAGAAAATTAGATTTTCTGACGTTTCGTGGCTTAGTGTAAGTCACTTCTTCAGAGAATAAATAACCAAATTAAAATTAATCCAAGTTTAAATAGTACAACGGAACAATTGATCCGTCAGAAAATCTAATTTTTCTACTCATTGGGATATTACAAATATATTATTTATTTATAACAATCAACCCAATGCTCAATTTATTCGAAATTATCAAATCAAACCTTGGTAATGATACCTACAAACTCGTTTTAAACATTTGTTCAAGTTTAGGAATACTGGAATTGGAAGCAAAATTCTTCAAGTTATGCCTCCCTTTATTTCAGATAATCAGCTCATAACGACTAAAAATGGTTTAAACCCAACGAATATCCAGATATCAAGTCAGATAGAACTAAGTAACTATGTTTTACTGACTCTTCAGATAGAAATAAATGAATATTGTCAATGACCATTGTACAATACTGACTGATAGAATATTTGATATCATCTCAATAGTAAGACTCATCATAATCTGGTTATAATCTTTCTCAAACATGGACTGTTTCTTACCAAGCTTTTTTAGAACAATCATGATTACGTCATATGTAATAAGTGAGTACTCAACTTTAGATATCAATACAAAGAAAATTAGAAACAAACCTGGACAATTTCACAATGGATAAGGTCTGAGACCTTTTCGCTAGAGTAATTACGAGAAGTGAGACGGGGATAGAGAACGGTGTTGTCCGTTCTCAACACAAACACGGCATCAAACCATCGTTCGGGAAAGAATTCACAGGAATGATAGTCAACAATCTACAGGGGAGTAAACGGGATAAAAAAGTAGTCACACCTGACCACCCGATGACATAACATCTTCTAATTCATCCAGGATTCTGTCTTCGTCCAGGATATGACACTGATTAGCTTCATCATATCCATCATATAATTCTTCTTCCTTGGCAACATCATTAATGCTGATATAATTAAGTGAACTACGTCTAGATACTTCTTTAGAGATAGTTGTTTTACCGGTACCAGGTGTGCCCGTTATTAGAATGTTTGGTAAATTTGCAGTGGACATTTTATAGATAAAAATGTAGAATGTACTGTTAAAGGAGGTCCAAACGTGTTCGAAGAAGATTCTCTTGATCGGACAGACGGTCAACGATACAAGTAAGCTGAATGACCTTATTAGATGTTGAAGATATAACAGAATCCTGATCGATGGTGTGGCTGATAGCGGAAGAAAGAAGTTCAGCAGAATGTGAAGATTTTACAATATTTTGAATAAGATTTTGTATAGCTGAGACTGTTTTTAGAGTTTTGTTTTGTAGTTGCGAAGCGGCTTTTTCGTTCCAGTTGCTCTTGCTGGACATCAAATTTACTAATGAATTATGTAACTCAGTTCATAAAAACGAGTCTCATATAGCTGGAAAACAAAGTTACATCAAACTTTAACATGAATTAACACTAAACTCCCAGTAGTTTCAAGTTTCTTTAAATGTATCATCATGAAACGCTCATTTTGTAGTGAAATCAAAGCCTACCACTTATGCACTAACGTTCATAAAGGATTTTAAAAATTATACTATATATTACTATGACCAGTGATCGTTAACCAAAGATAATTCGACAAAAATAAAACCTGTGCATAGTAGAAATAGTTTTTGGAGACCAGTAATGGTTTTGGTTGACTCTAATTGTTAGCAACATTTACGGTTACCTGAACTGTTAATGATAGCAAGATGGGACTTATTGGTTGCCTACGGAAACATTTGAAGAACAAATAGGGCTCAAATAATAACACCTCGGAGCCTAAGGAATATATGCTTAAAGTTGGTCATATGCAACTTTTCTGGTGGTAGTTGGAGGGCTTCATCTATTTATTGATATTACATTGTGATAGTTTTGAGTCAAAACAACGGGCCAGAAACATTCATCGTTAACTCGCTTTAAATCCTGAGTTTCGAAGTTACTTCACACCTTTTAATTAGTAGGACAATTTACTCTTCCCAGATCATCTTATCTACTACCAATCATACTACTATTTTCACTACTTTGGTACTCATAAGTCATAAAATAAATTCGAATCTCCTGATTTCAGGGTTTTCCAAAAAGTCCAATGGCAGTTTCCCCCAAATTTTGGGGAGTTTTGTGCCATTTCTCTTAAATTGAGAGATTGGGAATCAACCCAACCTGACCAGTTTTAGGGAAACCGCTATACAGACTTTTGAGGAAATGGCACCAAAACCCCAAAATCTTGGGTTTTTCCCCTCAACTTTCCAAGCTCCCGATTGGGAGATTGGGTCGACTACAGAATGATATATCACTTTACATTTCTGGTCTTAACGGCCTTTAATAATTTTGCAACTTATGATAGGGCATTTTCGTCAACAATCATAACTTTTCAGACTTATTGTTGAACATAATGTACACCTAAGAATTTGCGAAGTTGATGTCTGATCATATGATACAGATTAATCTATACCAATTGGTAGCAGCTCAAAAGAACAAGCCTCTATGTTATAAGAAATGTGAATGAAGCCATATAAAAGTAAACGGCTCTATAAGAAATAAAATATCACCAAAGAGGAATTGCGACAGACGACCTACTATGGGAAATAACGTGGGATACAGTAACCAGAAACGCAAACTGCCGCCAAATTGTCTTCATCATCAGGTATTCAGATTTAGATTCAGATTTGTATAGTAAGGACAGAAGGCCTACGGCCTATGTTATTCCTTTTCTAGTATGCTTTTGTAAGTGTCCAGTCTTCTGTTGAAAGAGTCAATTGAAGGTGCGGGCACCACTGCTTCGTTCAGCAGGTTCCAACTATTAATGACTCGGTGTGAAAACCTGTATGCCACTGGTATTTTTTTCGTTCTTGGCTTTTCTACTCGTCTGCTACGTCCTCTGAGATGTCCCGATCTAGTGGGAAGGAAAAGAGAGAGTAAGTTAGGTCCAAAATCATTTCTCATTATTCTGTACATCAAGACTAGATCTCCCTTTAATCTGCGATAGGACAGGGTGAAGAGATCTAGCTTTTCAAGCCGCTCTTTGTATGGCAAACCCCGGAGTTCTGGAGTTGCACGGGTAGCTGCCCTCTGTATTTTTTCTAGGATATGCGAATCACCTTTTAAACAGGGGCTTGCAGCCTGAACGCAGTTCTCAAGCTTAGTTCTCACTAAGGGCGTATATACTTTGGTGAACATGGTAGTATCTAGCTTAGCGAGTGTCCGTTTTAATGCCCAGAAGGTTTGAAACCCCTTCACTGCGACCTCCTGGCAATGGGTCGTCGTCTTAAGATCCTGACTTACTGTCACCCCCAGATCCTTATGAGACCGAACCACTGGTTGTTGCACTTCCCCTATGTTATACCTCTTAACAGTTGAGTCCCCGAAGTGCATGTAGACACACGTTGCCGCGTTGATAGACATCAGCCACTCTTTAGACCAGTTAATTATATTATTTAGGTCTTCCTGAAGAGCATATGAGTCTGTGTCTCCGGTTATTACTCGCCAGATCTTTACATCGTCAGCGTATAATAACATTGGAGACTGCACTATACTTGGAAGATCATTGACATACATTATGAAGAATAAAGGACCTAGGACGGAACCTTGAGGTACTCCACTAAGTACTGGTCTCCAGATGGAGCACTTGGAATTTATTCTTACCTTCTGTCTACGACCTACTTGGAAATCCTCAATCCATTTTAAAAGAGGTCCAGCAATACCAAGGTTTTCTAACTTAAGTAGCAGCCTATTAGTTGGCACCTTATCAAAAGCCTTACTGAAGTCTATGTAGACAACATTTACTGAGTTTCCGTTGTCTAGCGCCTTTGTCCGAATTCCCTTGCTATAAGGAGGTTTGTTGTACAGGATAGACCCTTTCTAAAACCATGTTCTGTGTTTAACAAGTTATTTGTTTCAATAAATTCCATTATGGTCCGTTTGACTATTCTTTCCAAAATTGTAACTGCAACACGGGTGAGGCTTACAGGTCTGTAGTTCGATGGAACTTGTCTTGGTCCTGTTTTATATATGAGAGTGACGATTGCGTCCTTCCAGTCCACAGGTAACACACCTTGATTAAGTGACATATTGAATATCACAGTTAGTGGGGCCGCGATGTATTGTGCAACATGTCTCACGATTTTAGGGTGTAGTTCATCTGGTCCTGTTGACTTTTCCATGTTTAAGGTACTGAGAGCCTTAAGCACATCGTCTTGGTCGAAGTTAACGGTGAGCAGGTGGTTTGTTGACTCTTTATTTTGGTCTGGTTCTTTGTCCAAAGGAGGTTCTTGAGTGAAAACTGTCCCGAAATAGTCAGCCATAGCCTCTGCTTTTTCCTGATCTTCCTCTATCATTTCAGATTCACTCCCTTTAATTAGATTTGGAATCCAATGATGCATCCTTGTTCTGTAGTTTATGTACGAGAATATTCTCTTGGGCTGCTTGACTGCAGATTGTGCCAACTACATCTCACATTTTCTTTGGGCTTCTCGAATTTTTGTTATACACTTGTTTCTTACCGATCTGTAGCGTTCCATCGTATCTGCTGTGCCAAGGCGGATGGCGACATCCCAACATTTCTTCTTTTGCTTATCCAGGGATGTCCGTGCTTCTTCGTCTTTAGGACTGAACAGGGTATGTATGGTTGAGTTACCCGGTTGTATAACTGCCTGAAATGCAGCCATGCCTCTTGTTCTGATGCCGTTGAGTCAATTTCCCAGAGTTGATGGCCTCCATATCTGCCTTCCATATGTTAGGACGGGCCGGAGCAACTGTTTGACAGGCAATCTCAGCCACAAATTTGAATAAGATGACTGCATGGTCACTTCTCCCTAGTGGTGGGAGGAAAGTCATTTGGCCAACGTCATCACCGAGTGTGAAGACTAAATCTAAAAGAGAAGGGTTTCTGAAGTCATATTTTGTGGGAGTTCTAATGTGTTGGAACAAAGCTAATGCAATCGATGTTTCTAACAGTTTGAAATCGAACGGCGTTGTCGATGATCCTACTTCTAAGTTAACCTAGTTTATATACGGTGCGTTAAAGTCGCCCACTACAATGCTTTTGCCCTTGTTACACCAGGACTTAAGTTTACTTAGGAGAAAATCATCTACCACACATTCTGGACTGCGATATACTACAACTAACTCAATATCTTGCCGTCTACATTTCGGCCTACATTGCACCAATTCACATGTCCCTGAAACATGTGCTACTGTCTCAGCTACTCTTATGATTAGGGTACTTTTCGTGTACAGGATCATCCCGCCTCCCCTACGATTTAATCTATCAGCCCCACTGGATAAAAAACCAGACAAGTGAATTTCACTATCTAATACTTCTGATGTTAACCAAGTTTCTGAGACAGCAATAACATTCGGTTTTTCTTTATCCACCATTGACTTAAGCTCCGCCATTTTATTTAGTAGGCTGCGAGCATTTGTGTAGCATATTTTTAAGTCTGTGGAGAACTTCCCCTTACCACCCAGAGTGGTTTGGGGATCGTTTCGCTCCGAACTTTTACAATTTTAAAACCCTTAAGAACGAGGTTCCGTTCACCATTTCGGCGACGCTCATTTATTTCCACTTCTTCAGCTCGTTTCTTAATACGATCAGCTAGGCTGAGATCCTCACGGACATATATTCCAGATCCAATCAGTTTACGTGGGTTACCTAGAGTCAGGTTCCTTTCTTCAACCGTGGCAAATGTAACCTTCAAGAGGCAGTTTTTCTGAGGGCCTTCAGAATCCACCTTTCGTCCTATTCTATAAAGCTTACAAATGCTAACTCCTGAAACTGTATCTGGGAGTAGTTTGCTTATTAAAGACTTAATGTGACTGAAGTCGTGTTCAAATCTAGCCTTTGGTTCCTTATCGGAAGATTCTCTTAAAATGACTGACCTCTCAGAGAGATCTGTCTTGACACTCAGTGGAATTTTTGTTTCTGATACCGTCTATACAATGACTTTCTAACCAGCTGCGGTTTGCCTACAGCTTTTTTCTTCTCATTTCTTTTTTTTCGTACTAAATTCCATTTATCTTCACTCAGGACAGCCACACTGGGACTATTTGGAACGATGACAGTGTTATCCGGTTCTTCAATTTCCACTAAAGGTGTATGATTTCCAATGTCAATATCATGCGGCACTTCACTTCTCGTTAATGTTAAGGGAGATTTCACTTTTCCGTCAATCACAATCGGGTGTTTGGCGCGTCCGGTAGCAGCACTTACTACACTGACACATTCCTCACTGTCAGTGCTCATGGTGTTAGGACAACCGCCATCGTTTTTCTCACAGGCCAAAGCCAATAGGCTCATAGCCTCCTGTTTTTGTGACTTTTTACTTGTACAGCAAAATATACAAAGCCAATGAGAGTTTGGCTTCTAGCATCTTTTGTAGGCCGTAGAACTTATACGTGTACACATCTTATGGTACCACTTTTTACATTCACCGCACTGCATTCCTTCCTCAACGGGGAACAAACAGTTTGATTGTCCACATTTATAAGTCTTACTAACCATTGTGATTTGATTTAAAACGTTTAAAACACACTATGATCACAACGTGAACACGAGTGTCAATCAATGAGTAAGCAAGAAAGGTGCCACAGAACAAAGTTTAGCAAAAATTTCAAACCTTAAACAAAGTAGACCAAGAATGCCTTATGTTGCAACTAGTACATAAAGCAGTGATAATCACAAACAGTACAAAAATCACTCCCCTTTTTTAAACGAGCAAGAATATTCTCTTAGGCTGCTTGAGTACTGATTGTGCCAACTGCATTTCATATTTTCCTCAAGCTTCTCGAATTTTCATTATACACTTGTTTCTTAACGATCTGTAGCGTGGGGGAGAAGTGTCTTATATTTATTCATATAGATTCTGGTGTCCTAATGGTGCAATTCATTTTAGGATTTGTTAACATGTTCTGGTTAGATGTTTTTCTTTTACGTTTCTAAAAGTTCACAACTCATTGCGGAAGTGAACTTTTAGGACCTTCTAGATATGTTCTCTCAGAATATCAGCTTTAGGTAAAGGAAATACAGGAAATCGGGGTGGTGGTTAACCATATTGTAGTATATATATATATATTTATATATGGAATTATCCACAATCTTGTCAATGTTGTACCACCCAACGGGTTCATACGTCAATGTTGTAGCGGTAAATAAATAGTTCTGCGGTCTTCAACATTGGTACAGACCTCATTAGTTCTACTGAAAACACGCTTGCTAAAGGCGACCGGTCAGGCATTGGCATCAAATTATGAGTGGGTACGCTGTGCTACGCGTCCCTTGCAACAACTAGGCAGCTTAGATCAAATGCGTTTCAACACATCTATAGCCTTCCAAATATATCTTTGAACTCATTTATTTTTGACCTGTGACTCGACTGGGCTGGTATCCTTTAATTATTAAGTTGTTACGGACAAAGGAGTTGTGAAACTCCGAACATTTGTAGCATTTTTAATGTATGGTCCTTCACAATTTCTACAATCTCTGTAACTCGTAAAAGAGAGAAGTTTTTAATGCTGAATATTTTCTGCTGGTCTACGGAGTTTTTCGAGACGTTTAGGGGTTTAATTTGGTTACATGCTATCATTTGTGTTTATTCAAATGGTTATAGGCTTTTAAGTGCTATTTGTACGAACTGATGATTACTTTGTACTTAATTTCCCATTGAACACGGATTCAAAGTATAATATGTTCATCTGTGCTTATCTAGTTCTACCTGCCTTAAATTGCACTACTTTGGGAATTCTTAGGTAGTACATAAATTTAAATGTTTCTGACCACCATACTGACGTTGCGATGGAGTCA